ATGGTTCTCAATAGACTGAGAGAGATTACCGCAATAGACAATCACCTAACAAGTAAAGGCCTTAACATCTACTACGGTTATGTTCCCATTGAACAGAACCCAGCAGATTGCGGAACAAGAGGATTGAGTAAAGGACAACTCAAGGACCACTTCTGGTGGACAGGACCACCCTTCTTGAGAGATTCACCGGAAACTTGGCTAACAAATTACAAGTTATTTCAAATGACTGAGGAAACCGACGACATAAGTTTGCCAGCTGAGTTGGCACTCGTCAACCAAGCCGTGTCAGAGGCAATCGATTTGCAACACTCTGACATCTTTGAAGACTTAAGAGGCTACCCATTCTCTACGATCAAAAGGATCACAGCAAGAATGTTACGCTTTATAAAGATTCTGGAAAGATTCCGACAAGTTCTGGAAAGTTTGGAAGACACAGTACCTCACAGCTCTGCGAGAGAAACACAAGTTGGAAGTGGGACACAACAAATCCAAAGCGCTCCCTCGCGTTGACGACTGTGTTCTCATTATGGACGCCGTGCAACCCAGACATTCTTGGAGAATGGGCCGTATAACAAAGCTTGTAAAAAGCGAAGATGGTGAAATAAGAGAGGCTGTTGTGATTCTGCCGTCCAGGAAACAAGTACGCAGACCAGTAAGACTTTTGGTGCCTCTAGAGCTAGAAGACAGAACTGTGAAAAGAACAAGTGAAAACGACTCCTCGGATGAACCGTGCAAGCGATACAATATGAGATCACGAAAAACAATTGAGTACAGCAAAGGAAGCAATTAGGAGGAGAATGTCTGGCGTGGCGGGAGTGTCGCCAAAGGCGACTATAAGAAGTTTTAGCGGTGTCGCCAACGATGCTGTAGATTGTACATAATGTATATATTATTGTTCATTTGTGTTCGTTTTGCCTTATATCGTAGTAGTTAGAAGAGTCTCACGAGGATCAGCCGGACAAGTCATTGCAACCTCACTTCCATCACCTTATCAGTGTTCTCTTCAGTCAACAATGACTTCGCAAGTAAACAAGTCCGAGGGTATAAATACCGATGGATGAGTGAGGTCGAGGATATTCTCTCCACAAGTGCCTGCTGGGAGGACGACAAGTCTCCGGCTCACCAAGAGGATTCTTTCTACAAGTAGTTCGCTGTGAGGACCACAAGTCTCCGATAGGCAATCTTCCTGCACAAGTCTTCTCCGGGTAACATTAGATCCAACAAGTACTCTGGACCAGAAGCATCAAGTCTCCTGTGCACCAAGACGTCTCTGAAGGATCACAAGTATCCTGGGAAGCAGTCCGAAGATTGACACATCTCTGGAGACACTTCACACATCTACATATTTATTGTTTGTTTGTATCTCAATAAAGCTTCATCACTCAAGTCTGAGGTACCATACAGGCCCGCGTGGCAACACTAAAGCAGCCTCACCACTAGCCATCCCTTTGCTACATGGCGGTCGTTCCCCGGGGATCACTAGGGGATCGTACAAAAAGCTCTAAAAATCCGCTTGTTCAGCTTCTCGCTCCTGTTCAGTATGTTCATAGTGAAGGATGGTAGGAATACTTACGGACAGGTAGACAGCGTGAAATCCAGAAGTTCGGAGCTTCAGGATATGAAGCTTTCTTTTAAGCTGCGATCCCCTCCCCAACTCTCCTGTTCGTGCATGCGGCCCTAGGTATCTTTCTTCTTCCTGGGCTGTGGTCTGGAGCTAAGGTATCTGCGAGAGGAATAGCAAAGATGCTTTGCAGATAATAAGTCATTGGTGGTAGGTTCTTTACTCAAGAGCATGGTGTCTTGTTTCTACTACTACTGACACGCGAAAGGTCGGTGAAAAGATGGAAATTCTGTTTCTTGTCTTAGTTATACAGAGCCAGATATCAATGTATCTGGCCCCACCCACTTACTAGCGACCCGTAGGGTCGCTAGTCTTATATATAAAGCTGAATGTCTGTTTGTCTGTCTGTATGTATGTATGTATGTATGTATGTATGTATGTATGTCTGTATGTACGTATGTTCCGAATAGAAAATTCCATTTCTGAACCGACCCGGACCAAACTTGGCACACATACGCTACGGGCCCCGGCGGGTGTCATAGGCTACTTTTCGTCATCGATCGATATCGATTTTATCGATTTTTATCGATTTCTTTGCTGAGTTCACCTACGGGGCTGGGAGTTGGCAGAGGGGGGTAATCGAGCATGGGGATTCCGAATACAATATTGGTTTTCAGGATTATCGATTACTTTTATCGATTTTATCGATTTTTTTGCAAAGTTTGTGCTACGGGGCTGGGAGTTCGCACAGAGGGGCGAGCATGGGAATTCCGAATACAATATTGGTTTTCGGGATTATCGATTACTTTTACCGATTTTATCGATTTTTTTGCAAAGTTTGAGCTAGGGGGCTGGGAGTTGGCACAGGGGGGTAATCGAGCATGCTGATCATCCCCAAGGGGGGTGATCAGCATGCTCGATTACACCCCTGTGCCAAATTCCAGCCCCCTAGCTCAAATTTCCAAAAAATCGATAAAATCGATAAAAGTAATGGACGATCTTGAAAACTAATATTGTATTCGTAATCTGCATGCTCGATTACCCCCCCCCCCTGTGCAAACTCCCAGCCCCGCAGGTCAAACTTTACAAAAAAAAATCGATAAAATCGATAGAAGTAATGGACGATCCTGAAAACTAATATTGTGTTCGTAATCTGCATGCTCGATTACCCCCCCCTGTGCAAACTCCCAGCCCCGCAGGTCAAACTTTACAAAAAAAATCGATAAAATCGATAAAAGTAATGGACGATCCTGAAAACTAATATTGTGTTCGTAATCAGCATGCTCGATTACCCCCCTGTGCAAAATCCCAGCCTCGCATGTCAAAATTTACAAAAAATCGATAAAATCAATAAAAGTAATCGATAATTCTGAAAACTAATATTGTATTCGGAATCCCCATGCTCACTCCCCCCCTGTGCCAACTCCTAGCCCTGTAGGTGAACTCTGCAAAAAAATCGATAAAAATCGGTAAAATCGACATCGATCGATAACGAAAAGTGGACTGTGACACCCGCCGGGGCCCGAAGTGTATGCGTGCCAAGTTTGGTCCGAATACGGCGGAGCCGGGTAAGCCAGCTAGTGGTGTATAATAGAAAGAGGAAAGGCGAAAGAATGCCATCCTGAGGAACACCCACTATTGCAGGGAAGTCGTCTTGAAAACTTGGTCCCCACGCGAACGGTCAGACCCCTGTTTTGCAAGTAGGAGGCAAGCCAAGAGAGTAGCTGCCCTCGAATACCGTAATTCTCTAGTTTGAGCAGCAATTTGAAGAGTTCAACTTTATCGAAAGCTTTGGATAAATAAAAAAAACAATATCCACTGACTTACCTTGATTAGTTGCGGTAGTCCAATCGAAAACAGAATCTATAAGTAAGGCAGTGGTTGACCCACCAGAGAGGAAACCCATTTGGGTAGACGGGAGAATTTAGTTATTCTCCAAACAACTGAGCAGTTTTTCTTTTACGAGTTTTTCAAGAATTTTTCCGCGAGGAGCAGTAATGCTAATGGGCCTAAAATTAGGAAGATGATTGTTGCGCTTACATTTAGGCATGCAGTTACCAACGCTTCTTTCCAAATATCAGGTACTACACCTTGCGATAAGAAAGCATTGAAAATGATAGACAGAGGAAAAGCTAAAGCAGTGGCACATTTCCGGTATATGATTTGAGGGATACCATCATATGTTACATTAACTGTAGGCTCCAATCTTTTCAAGACTTCATAGACTATAGTAGGGTCGATACACAAGTCCGGGCAGGAAGGCGCTATCCGAACTAGGGGGTGACAGGATGGTACCAGGCTATTTGAGACTGAGATTGATTCAGTAAAAATGATGAGAAGAATTTTCCAAGTGCTTCAGCTTTTTCACCGTCGCTGAAGAAGACATTCCCTTGGTCATCCATCAAATCAGAAATTTTATGTTGCCCTTTTTGTTTTATATCGGAGATAACTAAAAAGTCCTTTGAATTTATGCATACAGAATCTTCTCTCGCGATTGCCCAGATATTTTTTGATTGATGATTGATGTCGGTGCAGACTTTTTTGTAGAGCTGATTGCTTAGCGGGTCAGACAAGCGCAAAAAAAGCCATATGCCAGCCATATTAGCCTTATGCTCCTTCCCGCTATACACATCGTAAATGTATGCTTGTTAGAGTACGTGACATACCGAGTAATTCGGGTTTTGTCAACGCTATACAAGCCTTTCGCTACCGCATCTCTTTAGCTTTGCAGTTCAGCTATTTTGAGTTGAGTACTTTGAGATGGTTATCGTTAATAACTGGTGCAGGCATTATACTCACAAAAAACAGAAACAAAAAATTTTTTTCAAGAAGGGCTCTGGGAAATGCCCCCATATTTAAGTTCTCTGGAAGCACTGCATTTGAGGAGTTCCGGAGGATTTCTTCGGGAAGTTCTTCACAGTATTGCGTCGACGTCGTTTTTTTTGTTTTTTCCCAATTTTTCACCTTTCTTATCTCGGTACTAACAAAAGCTCTGGAAAAAATCCAGCAAATTAGCTTGATCTCGGAAAGTTTCAGCGAACTGTCTGAGTTTATACCTCACAGCATTTTTGATCATTTCTGCGTTTTATAATGTTTGTTTCTTGTGCAAATCTGCCACAGCCGGTCTTGTTCACCACCAAATATTCAAGCAAGAAAGTACAACTCCTCAATGTATGCACCTAATTCAATCTTTTTACAAATTGTGAAAGGAGTGCCGTTAGAAGACCTGAAGCATAAACTCTTTTTAAGGCACTTTTTATCATCCCGCGTTCTTTCCAGATTTAGGTAGAGCTAGGTAGAATTCAATAGAAACCACTCTACCATACTTATTTGATTCATCAAGGAGCAAATTTTTCAGAAGACAAAGAGCTTTTTCGTGGATCATTCACATCAATTTTGGTGGAATTCTCTACTCTTTTTAGGAAATAATGTTTCATTTTCCACACAAAAATGGTATGATTGATTAGCTTCTAACAAAATTTGCAGAAGGAAATTAAAGTCGTGAAAATTCACTGCAATGGATTGTTGATAAGCATAATGCGAGCAGATAATTCATCCCATGCCCCACATGAGCCAGTCCAACTCCTCTTTACTCATCGGTGATCTTCGTTGACGCCTTGTGTTTTCCGGCAGCTCCTTCATAGATAGTTCAATTGTGAGTTTTATAGAGCGATAGCTGTAAATCTCCTTCCACTAAATAAAAGATTGTAGACTTATTTGATTCCTCACATTTCGGATTTGATGCTCTCATATTTACGCATTTGTTCCGGAGACTGGTTTGTGTTGTTCATAATCCTCAAAAGCCTTCTCTCCATGTTTGCTAAGTACTTCTCCATTTCATCCTGAAACCAGTGTTACCAAACAATCGTTTGGCACACGCTCTTATCCACTTCATCCACTTCGCTTCGAAATAATAGACAGTTCGGTGGATGTAAACCTACCAAAACTCCCTTTCTGATGGCCCATTCCCGAATGGCGCCTTCCAGCTTACCAAGGGATGTGCTCATGCTGGCAAGGTTTTTTTGTGACCTTCTGAAGACTAGAAAGCTTTCAATTTCTAACATACCTCTCGGATTCAAGCTGTTGACACTTCACTGCCGTCACAAGAAACAAAGTGCTGATCATCCACTTCATCTTAGATGGAAATTTCAGTGTCTGGTTGTCTAAAGGAGGATGAGAGAACGGGTGTGAGAAAACTTCATTTTTGAGCAGATTTGGACTGACTTCGCACGCATAGTTGATCTTATAGTTTTTTCGATCGTTTCTAATTTAATACTGGCTTTTTCTCAAACTTTGAGGGTTAACGATTGGTATGAAGAAGTGAATGATCGGATTACAATACATAGCAAGCGTCTAAGCAAGTGTTGCTCGCCTTTATTTTTTCATCAATTTTTTGCAAACCTTATCTTAGGAAACTAGTGTTGATTTCGAAAGACGAATGACCATGCTAAACAAGAAGGCAATATATACTCATATCCAGCCATGTCGAATTTCAAGCATCTTGAATGAGCATTTTGTTATTGTAACTACACGGGGCAAGGAATGAGCAGGCGGTGGGACACTGACGGTGAAATGTTGTTTCTAAAGCGGTATAATTCACAGAGACCTGTGCCCGTATTCATCAGCAAACTCTTGATAGCACACCTTGAGATAAAAATCTATTCAAGATTAGCTCATTCGCAAAAGGCGCTCGAAAGGTGTTAGGTAGTTGCAAAAATGATGTCCGTTTTGCAAAGTTTCAATTTGAAAGGCTTTAAATTTGTTCAGTCTCCATATTTCTAAATGCAATTAAAACCACGCGCACCTGCGACTATTAATATTGCAAACGGGAAGGAAACCGTGCGGTAAAAAACCGAAAGTTTTTCTTTTGAAAACCTCATATTTGATAGATTACCACTCCCTTCAAGTTTTGTTCTATGGCGGTTAGTCGGCCCAATTTGTAGACGCAGGCCAGCGATATATGCCTGCTCAAAAAAGACTTCAACGAAAGAATTCTGCGAAAAAAAAAGATAGAAATCCAAAACTGTCTACTTTTCTAAACCTATTTATGGTAGGCCAGAAAATCCCAAACTATGGAAATTTGAGATTCTTCATACACTGAATAGCTACGCTTTTCTGCAAAAATTGTAGGAAAGATGTCCTGACCTCAAACATACAGAAATGAGCGAAGCCTCTGCGATTACCCTCCTAATTATGAGAAACTTCGGGCCCATAAAATTCCAGCAGCGAGTATCTATTTCGAAACGTCGATTTCTTGGTTCAGGTATTTTCGAGAAATCTACTCAAACGTGCTATAGGTAAACAATGTTCAACCAATATAGTAGCTATGTTTTTTCAAAAAAATTCATTCATTGGCGCCCGAATTGTGGCCAAGCGAGTTAAAGCAGCGAATTTTCGATTCCGAGTGCTGCTGTGTGAGATGCTGGTGAAATTCTTAGATGAGACAGAAGATTACTTTAACCACCACTGTTAGAGATTACATGAAGAAAGCGTTCCAATGATGTGCGGAATCCGTATTGAAAAGACATTTTAAAGGAAAAAAGTTGTTCGGAAAGTAGGCCTAGAAAAAAGGAAATCAATTCTGCAACAGCCTAGTAGAATCAACCTTAAGGTTTGTTGAATATTCGAAAACAGCGGAATTAGGATATTACCTAGCTTTCAAATAATGATTAGTTGGTTATAGTTTTTGGAAATAAGCCACAAAGCAATAGCCTCATGGGAGTTTTTCAAATTGAAACTTTTTGTGAATTTTATAATGTATTTGACGCAGCTGATCCATTCTAGAAGCTGAGTGTGAGCATATCAGTTTCTCATCAATTAGTGAATCTGCTAGAAAATGTCGTGCAGTTTTCAAGTTATTATACTTATTTGAAAGGTAAAAGTCGTTTTTTGTTTCACACCTAATGACTTGTTTCCAGAAGAGGTTTCGCAGCAGAAAGCCGCTGCTAAGATTTTTATAGTCATCATTCCTTGAAAAGTCAATAAACTTGGTGAGAGAAGGCTGTTTTAAAAATGTCCAAAGATATTCGCAATCAAAAGGTGCTGCAAATTAATCAAACCGGAAAGCTACCATGAGGCATGGTCGGAGACTCTTCACTGCCAGAGTTTTCATTGAACTAATGCAGCATAAGCTCAACTTTATCAGCAGATTTTCAGAAGGTTGGAAGCTACACCATATAACCTAGATCTGTGATAATATATATCGATTTCTGCAAAGAAAGTTAGCAGAAGGATTGTCAAAGACTGGCCCAAGACGATGACCGCAGATTCAGAGTGTATGGCATTTGTTGAGAAGCTCCTCCATCATTCTTCTAAAATATTTTACGTACCTTTTTTCCATTGTTTTATGACATAATGTTATTCATTTTTTGCTAATGCATTCTCATCAAATGCGGATTGTCTCAAATGCAAATTGCGTTGCTAAATGTTCTTCAATGTTTTACAAATTTGTCATGACAAACAGCGACAATGCGTGCAACATAAGCTCACAAACTTTCAAATCATAACCAGATCAGCATCGCTTGCCTTATTGTGTTTATAATTTATTTATCTGAAGGCGCGGTGTGATATGAACATTGAATATAACAAGCAATGCAAATTTGTAACCATCACAGAGAAAGAAAATGGAAATAAAATTATTAAACATATGCGTTCGGTTCTTGTCTCCGACGAAACTTATGGGTAAGGCACAAGACTTAGCCGCATGGAGCTATATCTAAATCCAAATATGAATATGCCACACAAGTTGCCAGCAAAACGATTTTAGTTCAAAGAGCATGCTGATGACCCTCGGAACCTTCAGAAAATGAGTGGGAATTGCTAGACAAAATACTGAATTGTCGGGCAAGTCCAATTGAGCCGATCTTGTGCGCATACATGTAAAGAACCTAGAACGCGAACTCAAGCGGACAAAATTAAACGCTTGCGCACAAATGACGAAGCAAACGTTACGCATTAGAGACTAAGAGAAAAGCAAATCTATGTCAAAGTTGAGACTTGAAGGACCACTGATGAATTATAAGTGGTTGCCAGCAGAAGTATAAGTTCAGATAGATACGAGATTTGATTAGGTTTAGATAGAAGCGAACTTGCATAGAATGAACGGACGAGGGTAAATAAATGTCATTTTCCCCTCAAAGCCTCGCAAATATATTTTAGACTCTCTAAGGTATGCGCCGTAAATCTGATCTTGACAGAAGATTCCATTGGAAACAAAATTGCCCACCCCTTTTCTGGTTAATGCAAGCAACCACCGAACCTCTTTGTACAAGTATCTTCTCTGATATAGAACTACTGCTTGCATTTCCCGACGTCCGATGTAATAAATATGATAGTGCCATCTAGCCAAGCGCTTTTAGGCCTCGCCTCAAATGCGCCACTCTTGCAGCGGTGGGTAAGGTTTTACAGCAACAATCTCTTTTTTTCTGTTGATTAAAATCTATCGGTAGAGTAAAGAGATTTCGTCTACGAACAAAGACAAGAACTTTCTTCAAGGATATCAGTCCACTTTTCCTTTGAAGTTTCCTTGGCTGCCTTCATCTGCTTTCTCATTGCCTAAATTATCGCAAAAACCTCTCACAGGTCTGCTGATAGTGAACCTAATTATCTTTTACAAAGTGTGGCATGACATAACATCTCCACAAAATGGAGAAACAAATGGTATGCATACGGAATTTTGTTGTTTTTGGTGCGCTCCATTTTGTTGCGACAGGAACGATATTTGTGCATACCATTTTTCCGATAGACACAACGAAGCATAATGCGCATTCTTAGCGACAGTATCAAACATAGGTTCTTCAGAAACAGAGCGATGTTGTATGTGTAACAAAAAATCGCACTGTCTGTCCTCACGGAATCTAGAAGGTTGCGCCAAATTAGAATTGTACACCAGTTGGAATGCTTGAGTTGCAGAATGGTGCGTATAGTGGAGAAACGGATAGACATTCAGGCACTAAGGTAGGCGAGTGCTTGGCTAAAATGAAGAGAGGAAACTTTTTATCTCCATTAGGCCTCGGGCAGAGTTCACGAGATTGATAGTCGCTACAAGACAAGTGTTACGAGTTGATTGCATACCGATCCTCTTGTATTTCGGTTGTGATAGTTAATCACGATTAGTCGTGTTGGGAAACTATCAAAACCGAAATGCAAGAAGATCGGCATGCATTGAACTCGTAACACTTGTCTTGTAGCAATTGAATCGCGACGACCATCACTCGACTTTGCCCGAGGCCTTAGGAAAGTAGAGTTTGAAAGGCGCGACGGCAATGGTTTGAGCATGACAGACGTTATAGCACGAAAGACCCTTGGAGTGGTGTGAATATACTTTTGCAATGCAAGCATGAACAAAAGAAATGAATGTCTGGCGATAACAAGTGACCTGCACCATTGCTCTCGCTATGTGAGCTTGATTTCGCAAACTACAAGTAGCAGGACTCCCTGGATACAATTCAGAGATGTCCGTCACACTGGTTTGGTACGATCAAGTCTAAGGTTAACTATAGTTCCTTTGCCCTTCGATGTTTCTGGCACGTTGTATGTGAAGGCAGCATACATTGACATCTCCGCGGAAGGAAATCGCAGCTTGAAAGAAAGCTTCATATTCTGCAGCTCCAAATATCTGGATTTCATGGTGTCTACCTATCTGTAATGTTCTTACTATCCTTCATTATAAACCTATTGAGCAGAAGCGAGAAGCTGTACAAGCAGCCTTTTCCAGCCTGTGTGATCCCCTAATGATGTCCGGCAGCCGACCCTCTCTTTTTAAAGTTATTTTTCTTTTGTTGAACTGAATGAAAATATTTTAAAGTTGTATTGATTATCTAAACAACAGTGCTAAGCATGTTGCTGAAAAGAACGAATGTGTCATTGAAATATCGCAATTTTCGATAGACTCCTATTCTAGACTTGTTCCCCAGTTTTACAACACCAAACTGTGCGACATAAGAAATAGAGCATCAACTTTTTTCTTATTTGCTGGCTTATACAACTTTGCACATACAAGACTTTTTATTGCTTCAAATGACTTTGTTATATTGATAGAAGATAATCTCTAAACTTTAATGATGTATCCCTGCGTTCTCTCATTTTCCTTGTGCTTCTGCTCTCGCTTCTGCCGCTGCCACCTTCTTGTTGTATTTTCTAAGCATGGTTTGGTATGAACTCAAGTACGGCGAATATTTTCCTTTCCGAGCAATCAAGTTGTCCTGTAACATGTACCATGCGGTACGACGTCTAATTCTTTGCAAATACTCACTTCAACAGCTAATTCGAGCAGGCACATATGAAGGAAAATGTATTGTATGGGAGACTGGATAGCCTGGAAACGTTGGCCCCTCAAATCTTTCAGAATCTCTACCATCTGCACAGAAGCATTGTCTCTGATTTTCTGCCAAGCGTAGTCAATGGCTGAAAATGCGTGTCAATCAACTAATATTGGATAGACCATGAAATTTGCTTACCAACAAAAGTGGCTGATCTTCCTATACCAGCAGAACAATGCACAGTTATGGGATTTTTCTCCGCCAACTGACGGCACAGCTTAGAGCAACCCACCATTGGGGCGGGGTCCGATGGGGCAGTATGGTCAGGCCATACCAAGTACGCAAAGTGGTTTACCGTAAACGATCTACCGCTGCAAATTTCGCAATAGGTTTTTCAAAAGCAGAAAAATTCTTGTACCTGCATTTCACCTCAAGTACTGTTTGTTTGACGTCCTCATATGGATCGGCTTTTGTACCCTTATTCGTAACCCTGTATGGACCGTAGCTCTCCGTCGATCCTTTGGATTTGGGAAAGTATTGCCTACATTTTTCATGCTTTCCTAAAAATTTCTATTCTGCAAATCTTCCAAAAGCAAACATTATTAACCAACCTTCGATATTATTGCACAATTGCACTAAAACTGTACTCTTCTCCCAAAAAATCATATGCCAAAAGTCTTCCAAGGTCTCCAACAAAGGTCCCTAGAATCGCAAGCAACCTTTGTGTGAAGTGCAAAACTTGGCTGAATGCTTATTCGATGACAGAGTATCTTTCTACTTTGCCGTATCTTTGCTTTACGTCCACAAAGCGAGATTTGACATGTCATAAGCACTTAGCTTGCGGGTAGCTTTAGGAAGAGCTCTACTGACCTGCGTACAGATATACCTGAAGCGATCTGGCATAGTCATCCAGCTTGCATGTATGTAATCTTCATCTGATGGGCGATCCTTCAAAATTACTCGAGTAGCATCTATGCAGATGATATCGTTATACCTAAAATAATGCCTCTAGTGTTTGTAGAGGTTTCCTGTCTAAACTACCTGTTCTTGGGTTCATTTTTATCATAGGCTACAGTCGTAAAGCCACTTGGTCTGTACTTCTTATTAGCGGCAAATTCTCTTGACAAGACTTTGATGGACTGTAAATATGAATCAAAAAATTGGAAATTTGTCAAAACTTAACTGATTTCAATCAAACGGCTACCTTTGTTGCAATTGTTGTGGCTGCCCATTTGCTACGATTATCATCACGCGCAATGGTTGGTGCCAGTATGTCTATTTCAGTCTGAATAGTGAAGTCATATAGGAGAGCGCATATCAATTCAAAGCAAGCTAATTTCGGCTTCTGGGGTGACATCCGGCTTCAAGTAAAAGGGATGCGCATTAAACACCAAATTTATGGGATTCAGGAGGATGCGCTCGGAACACGTGTTTATAACTTTCAAATATCTTATATATAAAGCTGAGTCTGTTGTCTGTTGTCTGTTTGTATGTTTTCTAATGTCTGTTTGTATGCTAGTCTGTCTGCTGCAACCGTACATTGGTTGCAAAAGCTGCGCGTCAGCCCACAACACGCAACGAACCAGCATCGCGCGCAGTCACTGTACTTTAACTAATGTTCTGTGAGAATATGAAGAAAGAATGGTGCGTAAGGTGGGTACGGTAGGCGCTCGAGCCAACATGTTGAAGGCAGTAAGCAGCCTCTTTCGTGCTAGGCCTCGTTTGCGGTGTACAACTGTCACATGTGCTTATAATAGCTACATCTCCGACATCCGGCAAGTTACATATGGTGAAGATAACACAGGCCCACTGTCGCATACAACTTGCTTAGACGTCGGGCCAGTTTACAAGTGGAGTGATTTTTCGCAAACTGAAAAACCAACAGACATCTGTTGATATTTCACTGTTTACAAATATCAAGGAGCTCTTGGTGGTATTGCGGACATTTCGCAGATGTTGAAAATATCCAAATTTTCGGACTTTTGCTAATTTAATCGGCACAAGTGTGTGCCATTTCATCAGCCAGAGCACCAAATGCCACGGCACCAAATGATTTCTATGCGAAAGGAAACCACCGGGTGAGCAACAAGTAAACAGCAAAAAACAGAGTTTTGACGAAAACAGCTCAAAATGCAAGTAATTACGAAAATGAGAAAAAAGAACAATAGCATTAGATTGGCAGCATAAACGATGGCATGCTAATCGAAGTCAGCTCACCTTATCTAAGTTCCAGAGCAAATGACAGAAAAAATGACAGAAGGAAAAAGGGTAGCTATGCACCTCACGAATGCGCGCTATCAGCTGTTGTTAGCTATGGCAGTTGACTTGCATTTCAAACGTTCTCATGCTACAGTCTGCCCCAATCCTAACCAGGCCAAATTTGGCATGGCGGGAGTCCGCGTCGCTAGGGTTTCGCTGTCACGCCCACGGTCTGCTTCCCTGCCTTCTCTTCAGTCCTTTGGCTCTCTCCAACAGCGCGCGTATGCAGCGCAGACCGCTAGCGCTGCGAGCGCGCAAATGTACGCCGACGCTTCGGCCTGATCCCGGTTGGGTAGATTGTATACTATCATATGAACAATAACTACGGCTCAAGGCGTACTAGACGTTAATCTTGTGCTGGTCCCAAGATCTGTCTGTGTCTCCGCGCAAGACGCACTATTTTTCGACTGCCCACATGATCGACATAGCTTGTTGTGACGGTTGCGATGCACGAGTTACGTTGGATTATACCTTGCCCGGAAGACATCGAATACGCGGGTCAGATTCAGAAATTTTGACCTGTTTTGATGCGTGCTCTGAGCAGAGGGTATTTATCAATCTCCGGTACTGCCATACTTGGTTCTCCTGATCCACTTGACTTGCTTGATTCGCTTGATCCGTTTCGTACAAAACGCAAGTCACTAATTTGCATTTGGCGTCGCGTACAGCAAATTTGCGTAACAATACGAAATTTCTTTTTACCTACGCGGCGCCAAACGATAAACTGCTGTGTGCGCGCGTTTTGCACAAGGCGGATCAAGCGGATCAAGTGGATCAAGAGGATCAAGTATGGCGGGTGCCCCCCGCTAGCTGTTCGGGCACTTTCCATTGTTATATAGCCCGGACAGGCGAGAGGGCCAAACTGTAATTCCTGTGATTTTATTTAGCATAGCCTAAACGAGGGTAGGGGACTATATGTCGTCAATAGCCTCCACCCCGCGCGGACATCAGAAATATAACGGATGTATATCCGTTATATTTCTGATGTGTGGAGCCGCGTACTTCGTCGCAGATGTCTGCGTGACCACCCACTTTCGGCAACATATAGTCCTCCATCCCCTGAAGGGGCAACAGACCCCGATATGTCGAGATCGGACAGTCGTGCCCGACATAGCCAAACTTGTCAGATCCTCTTGAACCAACGCAGTGTCCCAGGTGAGATCCAGATAGTATGATTGTGATGGAAATTTCCGATAATTGATGCGGATTATTCCAGCCTTCCATTTTATACCATTTAATATGTACTGTTTTCGTTAAGCCAAAAGCCAAATTTTTTGATACATTTCTGCATTTCTAACTTATCTCAATGCTACGCATCGTCGTACAATACAAAACATTCAACGAAATTACTGGTATTTGAAACAAATAGGCCCTTTGAGCGCTCTTAAGAAAAATGATCCTAATCCCTCTATCCTTCCTTGCGATTGTTGACGTGATCACCAAATGTGCATATAAATGCAAAAACTTTGCTCGATGACCGAAATGAAAGAAGAGAACAATAAAAAACGATGGGTTTCCATGTCTTTATCATAGACAAAGTTTACGCCAGTAGGCCTTCTGGATATGCGCCCGCTCGCGCTGCTGGCGTGTTGCTCTCCGCAGTAGGTTCCCAAACTATGAGAATATGTGCGGGAGATTGATAAATACCGCTCCAGGACATTATACAAGGAGGGTTCCTACTGACTCAAGATTTCGTGATTTCAGCTATTAAAAGATTGGTTTGTTCTCGGTGAGAGGACTGAAGTGCCGACGTAACGCCCTCCGAAGTGTTTTTGTATACGTTTTGGATCTCAGTTTTTTGGCTTGTTTTTAAAGAAGCCTTCTCATTGTCAGAAATATGGAGTTTCTTCACGCGAGCACGTCTGCTCAATGGTGGAGAGTGAGTTGTAAGATTATTCAGGTGCTGAATTTGCACTGTACTGCGTCTTAAAAATGCCCTCTCTTTTACGAGTGTTTAGTGGTGAGAAAGATACTTTAAATGATTCCAAAAGCATTGGAAGGCAAAAGCACGGCTAGGTAAGTCTGCTCTAGTGGGAAAAAGATTATTACCAGTAATAGTAATACGAATAGAAAGAACTTTTTTATCGGACTCCACTTACTGTCTTAAGGGTAACAAGACCGACGTCAGGTTGCTCATCGCCAATTGGATCTGACAAAAACGATACGTTTGCGAGCCTAGCCTTCGAACCTATAAGTCTTGACAGTCTTGACAACCTATAAGTCTCCACAAACAACGACCGAAGGCTCTTCTCAACGCTGCAGAGTACATTAACTACCAGGTGATCGCTCTGCAGGAAACTAAGCCATGAAAAAGGACGTGCGACAAAATGAGCGATGGAGCCTCATCGTTCGCGGTGAAAAATTTCACCACGATAGTAGCGATTGACGATCGCCAGTTTTGGCGACTACAGGTTGGATAAGTATTGTTTGACATGTAAACTCATGCCAGCAATCGATAGCTATCTAATGTGCAGTCGCCAAAACGCCAGTCGTGGCGATTGGCGATCGCCCGTCGCCATGCTATATTCCTCGAGGAGTATAGCGCCTGCCTGAGACTCAAAAAGAAGCATCCAGCTGGCGAGCCCAGAGCTTCGGGTCCATTCAATCAAAATCCTTCCTTCAGTGCTCGGCTATGCAGGAGAGACCTGACGCGACACTGCGGACCACGTCGAAAGCTCAACAACCCAGAAAGCTACTGTAGAATTGACGGACACGAGCAACCTCTTTTAGCAGTTTGTACTTAAAGGCAGCGTCCGGTCAGATTGACGACCTCCGGTTTATTGCCTTAATTGGCCCTACTCGTCGCCCTAAATGCGAATATAAGCCTTGGAGCGGGTGAAAACGAAGAAATCCGAGGTTTTCGGGAGCCCTTCCAGTGGCCTCCGGACGAGCACTCACATGTCCCTGGTCAGATGTCGCCGCCGGCTGTAAAGGGGTGTCCCTGTCGCCACTTCTGAGGCGGTTTTCTCGCTTCAGAAGCAAAGTGGAGCGATGCCACTTGGGCAAGACCTTGATCGGGGTAGGAGCTGTAGGAATCTGTGCTTTTCTTCAAATCATCGGACCTGCCCGGACGCTGCCTTTAAAGGCAGCGTCCAGGCAAGTCTGGACACATGGGGATCTCACGTGGATAGTAATTTTGGGGCCCTAACTAAGCTACGGCCCAACCTGCGCTCAGGTAGTGCTCTAACGGCTGAGATATTCCTCTCGGAACTGGACCCCGCGATCGTATTCGCATGGATTCATGGCAGTTTCGCGCCAGTATCCACGCTTTGCGCCATGAATCCATGCGGAATACGACCCAGGGTTGGATTTGGGGGAAATATCTCAGCCGTTAGAGCACTGCCTGAGTTGCCGCTTAGGCAGTGCCTTAGTTAGAGCCCCAAAAGTACTTTCCACGTAAAATCTGCATAGCTCCAGATCTGTCTGGAAGTGCCTTTAAGAAGTATTCCGTCTCCGCGATACAAAGGGTTCTCTGTGAAAGCGAAGTACCAAGAGGCCGGTCACTTCGTGGAAAGGACGCCAGAATCAATTGCTCGCAAAGCAGACCGTCTGTAGAAGGATGAACAACGGATGGAGCAGAGTTGTTCGTGGAACTGGTGAACCAGCTGAAAAATTAGCTTTACGATTCTTGCACTTGCTTGCGGACCACCGACAAGTAAGAAGTCTTGGATATATGTATAGCAAGGGATAGAGACAAATGGAAACCTACTCTAGTTCCATACGTCACGTGACAAGGCCATCCATATGAAAGTAGATCCCTGCTCCAGATGTGCTTACGTGTTGAATTGCGTATGGATTGGAATAATGATGATGTGCGTCTGAGGCCTATATAGACCCCGATGCATAGCGGTAATGCAAGTCAGCCCATACCACTGTCAACGTCCAGGTCGAGGCTTTATAGTTGATTTCGACCGCTTTCTTTGGTGGGATACATTTAGAATTCCTGTTATCATGTCTGTCATGCATTTCAACATCAAGTATGACTCATTTCTGAGCGGGTGTGATGCTTTTTGGGGCCGAATGAGCTCCTTGCATAGGTACGTGCTCTCCGCGTACCTGCTTCGATTTTCAATTCATGAACGCTTCAATAACACGACTTTGAACGCATACAATGAAATGAAAAATTAGCCCAACCAGTAACTTGCAGAACAATTAGGAATTCGTTTTTGCGCTGATAATTCGCAAATCTTTTAAAACCGTTAGCAATTTCTCTTGTCCGTTTTAATCTCTAATCAGTTTTTGAGAAATTGCTCCATAGATTGAATTAGAATTGGTCCAACCTAAAGATTTTTCAAAAGTAGTACTATGCCTCATTACTGACCTTCGCGCCTGCTAAAGCTTCCTCATCGATGTCGTCGTTTTTTCTCAGAAACTCTCTCTTTCTTCCTTTTTCATTCGAGGACCTCCTACCAGAGCTTTTCACCTTGCTTCTAGCCTGAAGCATCAAGGGTTCTGTATGATAAGTATTAGTAAGTAGTTGAGCTAGTTATGCAATGTGCAATGCCATGCAACGAACCATATTAAGTGGACTTCGATAAGAAAATGATGCACCTAGATTTAGCTAATGATTCGAAAGAGTGCAAACAGGGTAAACAATTGATCATTTTCACATCAACACTTACGGGAGAGCAGTTTTTGATCATGCTAACAAAATAATGGTCACAAATCGAAATGGCCAATCTAAACGAGTTGCGTACCATTAATCTGTACTTCATATTTGCTCAGCGCTTACGTGGCGAAGTTATGAGCCGTTAAATGGCCATTTTTGCCAAAAAAATGGTGCACGCCAAGGGCAAATTTGGCAGTATAGAGGCATGTCCGGCTTAATGCTAACGATGAGTCAAAACGTGCAGCGAGGTTACTTTGCATTTTTGATGCTAAAGGTGAGCTGAAAGTGCAATAATGTGCTAATTTCGCAATTTATATGTGCGATTTTTTCGCAATAGAACTGGTCATAACTTTGTCCATAAAGACGCTAAGCAGATATGGTATACAGATCCGTCTTTGAATGCTGTGTCTGGTAGGTAGCTTGCTTGGATTGACCACTTCAACTTCTGACCATTTAACTATAGGCTTCCCCGATTCGCTCAGTCATTCCAAAAGTTATGACGGTGATTTGACACGTGGAGCTTCCCAATATAATCGTTTATTTGCCGCCTGTAAATCTAAGAAATAAAGAAGTTTTTGAATGGTACCTAAAACTCGGCAAAAAACTGTGGATAGCTTTCTCGTCGTTTGCCAAAAATCTGGAAATTCAGCCAGAGTCTTCTTAGATGATGGCATCAATATTCTAAAATGCACCAATTAAAAGTGTGGAAGACTCAATAAACGCAAACCTAGCGAACAACAACCTATGCATATGACCGACCAGTTCAGATTCTGAAATACATTCTGGTCATTGAGCAACAGTATGTAACACTTGATTCAACTGGCTTGGCATTCGGAAAGGCGGGGCTTCGCGACCTAATTAAGGCTAGGTAATGATCAGAGAGTACTCGCGCGAGAGAGACGCAGGTGCGAGCGGCCTCAATTAGCCCACATAGCCCCCCCCCTGATGATGCCAAGCCATTTGAATCAAAGATTAGTTGCGACAACTAATGAGCTTGCAAATGTTGCTCACGTAAGGCTCCAGCTCGTCTTATTGAGCTGATTACAAATCTACCTTCCAAATCTAACTGCTGCGCGGCTCTCTGGAAGAAGTTGCGATGAAAGTTGTGAATTTATTAGGCTTTAATGCGTAAGTTAAAAACCAGCTTTGGAGTACATATGCACCAACCTAATATCTTGTTTCACCCATATGTGACAGTACCCGTCCCACCAAACTCGATTAGTTGATAAAGGTGTTTAATCTTATCTACATGAACTGATTTCAGCTCAAACATACATCGCACGCCAAAAGATCAATTTTATCAACCTACAACCTAACCTACAACAGCAGTCATGAATGTAGATGTAAAAATTCAGAGAGTTTTTGCTTATTTCATTTGGGATATATTATATTTGACTGGCGTCAACACTCTAAAAAAATCGTGAATTTAGTCAACTCGGTGGCTCCTCCTCTGGTAGACACAGTTTGTAAAGATAGAACGCGGATCGTTCTTTAATTGTTCAATTACTTTTGGGAAGCTCGCCAAAGAAGCGTTACCACAAATTGCGCAGTCATAGAATAAGATTTCTATCGATCTTATCAAATGGTCAAAGTTTATGATAATCGAGCAGTTTCAGATGATTCATTTTGGGTTTTTTGAAATTAAGGAAGTGTTGCCATGCTGAATGCTTTTTTCTAGAATTATACCTCTTCGCTGCGCTGTTTAATTAGTACACATTCGCTTATTAGAAAATATAGGTTGTGAAACATATGCTACTGAGTGTTGCCCAAACTGCGCAGTTTCTGAGTTTCTGGAACGGTTATCCAAAATCACAAAAGTTTGATACTTTCCGTTTTTATCTCTTGTCTGCCGCGAAGTCGCAAAGCGCCACAGTTAAAATTGTTAATTCTTCCCAAATCAGGGCAAAAGTTCATAAAAATAAAAAAACTGCAATCCTTTTGAAAATTGTGCGAACGGACGAAGTTTTGAAGCAAATAATATTTTGCTCAACGGTAACAAGTTTTCTGGGTGTCTATTAGGTGGTCCCAAAAGTTTTGTCGATTTTTCAGACCACTATAAAACCATGCACAATGAAGAAATGAATGAGTTATAAAATGCATTCGATGCAGCTTTCCTTCTCCTTGTGGTTACATTTTCTAACCACAGTCCTGTATGCTTTTTTAATAATTGCTAAAATTCTTCACCCGTCATTTTTATCTGCTCAAACTTCGGCTAATTTTTGAAAATTTCGTTTCAAAGTTTCTGAAAAGGTTAAGCATGGCCCAAATAGAGCATTTCTCGGGCTATATATTAGGTTGATGCAAAAATAAGCGTTTTTCCATTTTTCAGTTTAACTTGCTATAACTTTCTATAGAAACTACATTTTGAAATTTGATCAAGATCATCAGATGCAGCAAACCTTTCGCAATACAGCGCACATTAAACTATACTCATATCTCATACGGGCAGAAAAATATGGGTTGAAAAACAAAAAAGTTTTTTCTGAAGCCTTGTCTTTGACTAAACATAACTACTTTCATACTTTGTTATTATAATTTATAAGCAGCCTATCTTGTAGCCGCAAGCCAGTAGTACAAATATATATGGAAAGGGCTTGGAGAAAAAGAATTAGCGAAGAGGGAAAAATCGAAATTCAAAAATATCAACTTTTTCAGCATTTTTTCAGTAGGCCTCAAAATCTTGAAGTATAGAATTTTCTCAATTTCTGCGTATTAAACAGCTAAAGGTCTTTGCTAAAACTATCAACAGGACCTCGCGCTTACAGAGATGAGCAAAGTTTGAGTTGTAGGCTATAAAATGACCACAACCATTAACCATGTTAAGCCGCCGATATCTCACTTAAAATAACTTCAAAAAATATGATTGAGTATGCATGATGTAGACAATTTCACTACATATAGCGGCCAAATTTTCAAAAACGCACCTCCGTTTGCGCTCAAATTCTGGCCAGAAAAACGAATGCAACGAAAATCCGGTTCTGAGTGCGATTATTTGAAGCTTATAAGTTCTTAACAGAGTGGGACAGAAGTCCCTTTCAAACATCGTTAGGTAGAGCATGTGAAGAGCTTTCTAACAATTTGCTGAAACCTTTCAAAGAAAGAAGTTCGATAGAGAAAAAAGTTGTCTGTAAAAAGTCTCAGGAAAACGCTCATTATTTTTGCATTAACCTGATATTAACATTTTTAGATTTTCATGATGTGCTGCTTTTAGCTCTACTAAATTATTTGTTCGAAGGTCTCGATTTTTGGCAAAGTCATGAAAACGCAACTGCAGCAAAAACATGGAAACTCTTGAAGTTTTTGCGAATTAAAACTTGTTTGTTTTTGATTATTATTTATGCAAACAATCTAAGTTTGATTTGCTTCAAAAAATCAGCTTTTGGAAGTTTCGGTACTTTCACGTGTTAAACGTAATCAAAAAGTCGCGGTTTTTCTTAAATAAATAATTGTTACGGACTCACAAAAATGCCCTATGTAATCTAAATTAGGTACAATGTAGCCAAAGGTTTGCTTTACTTAAAGGTTACCAGCGCTCTTTGGAAATGTCAAGATAAAAATTTTCAAAATTCAGAAACGTTTGGCTTTACTGTTGAGCTGCTCAAAAAGCTATGGCTATGGCATCGCAAAGATAGGGTTAATCAAAACGCAAATATAGCTGTAAGAAGGAAGATGAAAATCTGAATCGGATGGTGCCTAGACCGTTTATGGATTAGTGTTCTGTGAGTTTTAGTGAGTGATGAAAAAAACCGACAGAACATTCTAGACAATTCAATATTTACAGATACACAAGCTGATTTAGAACATTGTTAAGGTTTAAATTCGTAAATTTACACTATTGTTTTTTCTCTTCCCCGCTTCGCTGGAAGTCATTTTCAGAAAAATTCTGGTTTTTCACCTCTCTATTAAAAAATCACTTTTCTCTCAAATTAATTCTACACATCATCTCTTATCAAGCAAATTTTAACTGCAAAAAGTTAATGTAACATCGTCATTCTCCACACGAAAGATCTTTGCTGCGTGTTGCAGGAAAGTATACGGCGCCGAGGCATGCCGCATTTGATGTCCAAAGCGCTCCTTTGTTCGCGGGCACACAGGGAATGTCCGTTCCCCAAGTAAGCGTGGAGTGGTTGTCGCACCTAGCTGCAGCAGGAGCGCTCAGCAGAGTCTGCCTTTGATCCAGCTGTTCGTTCCAGTGCGACGTCTCCCTGCCAATTTTTGAAAGGCTCGAAAGGGCCAATTCAAGTGTGTTCTGATAATTTTGGGAATCCCAAAAGAGTAATTTCATGTTTTTTAAATGCCCATTTGAAGAGAAACAGTGCCAAAAATCAAGCCACAACTTCAAGGTACATCAACTAACAAGCAACTCAACGATTATCTTATCGACCATCAACTTTTCCCAAACAAGCGGTGATGGTGATGTTTGATATATACAGTCATTTTTTTCCAAATGAGGGGGTGGTGTGGTTGATACAGGGCCCGCGTTAAATGAGCTTGTCGGCCAAACCCGGCTCTTCGTTCATTGGTGGAGACGCAAAATGCCAATTCACAAAACTTCTGTGATGTCAACTAAATGAAACTTTAATAATATCAGTTGTTCCTAAAGTCCTGTCGAATCTGCAGCTGTCTGATTTGAATTATTAGGTTGTCTCAAAAGTTCTGTCGTTCCATTTTTGAAAATTTGTAAGTTTGCGTTATCTCAACGGATTTGCATCCTTTTGATTTTATTTGAAAGCGTATGTCTCTCGCTTTCGTTTATTTACTTTCCTTTCTAGCTTCTGATACACACTGAATGCAGAGATAAAAATGGAAAAAGAAGACCAGATAAACTTTCATCATTTTTTGTTAGGTCGCCAAAAACCTGTTCCGCTGCGAAAAATTCTAGAAACGTAATTACATAAGTTTTATGACCTACTCTTTTCAACTGTGAAAAGTTTGTGCTGTTTGAATGTGTCTGTGAAAAGTTACGATTTTCAAGAAAAGTGACAAATTAATTAGTTTCGGCATTTTCTGTAGTAAAGTCGAAATTCGTAACTTTTCAAAGAGACGTCCAAACAGCACAAATTCTTCACAGTTGTAAAGAGTAGGTCAAAAAACCTGTGCACTTTGTTTTAAGAATTTTTTGCAGCGGTACAGGTTTTTGGCGACCTAACTCAATATGATCAAAGTTTATATGGTCTTCTTTTTCCATTTTTATCTCTGTATTCAGTTTGTATTAGAAGCTAGAAAGAAAAGTATTCGAAAGCGAAAAACTTAATCTTTCAACTATAATTACAAGGATGCAAACCCGTTGAGATAGCGCAAAGTTACAAATTTTGAAAATGAAACGACAGAACTTTCGGGACAACCTAATATTAAAATTTTTAAATACAACTTTCTTCACCAATTCAAATTCTGTTGGATTAAAGCAGATTTCTTCTCTGATAAAGTTCACAGTTTTCAAGTTTCTACACTATCAAAGGGCCCATATAAGGAAAGGCAGACACATTTATTTGAAATCAGTAAATAGCCTATACTAAAAAATTATATAGTGACGCAGCTATGTGGGATTAAAAGGCTTCTACCACTACACCGCTTGCCACTAAGAGTTTTCACTTAAGTAACCTAAAGTAATGCGATTTTCTTCGTGGGACTTTAATTGAGCACGACAGCATTTTGGCAATTTTGTTTTGGGATCGAAATTTCTCAAAAACGGAGTATCTCACTAAAATTCAGCAAGCTTCAAAAAAAGAAGAGAGATATTCCAAAAGTGTTTATAGTAAGCAACAAGTGCAGTAGTTTTTGAAAAACAGCCGCATTGAACAAAATGCGACTAAAAATACAGAACTTTTAGAAAAGGCAGGTATCAACAACTTGTATTCGTTGCTAAAACAAAAGGTAGAAATGTTCAATTTTACTCATTTTTAAGTGTATATCTTGTCGATTTTTCACTATCTTCCTGTTTTGGAGAACTTGTTTACACCTGTAAGAACAATTTGGCTTAATTTTGAAGTGGCGTAGGAAGATAGGAAAAAGCGCGATTTTTCTTATTGAATTCCATCTATTTAGATGGAAGAGTTGTGTTAGGCTTCGCGACTCGAAGCAATCCATATGTGGATGCAGATCATTTATTTGCTTAAGTATAACCTAAATGCCTATGTTTCATCTAGCACCAGCAAATTTTTGAGGGAGAGAGAGGTAGCGGGCGCTAAGGGACGCATTTTCTGAGTGGAGAAAGATGCCTCGAAACAATTTGTGAAAAACTTTTCGATTTCATCTTCGGCAAACTCTTATTGCCGTATTCATGAGTCTGCAATGAAGACAGCGGGATCTGTCCATTATTAGCAGTAAGTGAATGAAGCTTATCCTCCTTAAAATAGATATTGATAGCAAGATCAACAGCTCAACATTTATTTAGAAAGGGTAAAGCAGTTATATTCGAACTTGACCTCCTAGCAGAACTTTTTGCACGCTTCTTTCCATGTGAGGTTCTTCATCTTCTTAAATGCGTTACTGTAGAATAGAAAGCGTAGCAAAAACAAGTGCTTCTTACTTCTCTATGATTTTGCTTGATTGTCTCGTCGGTTTTCTTGATTATCGCACAGAATTCCTTTATTTTGCCTTTCTTGCATTCATTTTGTATGTCCTTGAAAGTGAGATTACCTTTACCAATTCACAAAGCAGATGTTGTACAATAAACACACCTTGCAGTCAACCTTTTTCTCAGGAATCAGTTTTGTGAAGTAAGGGCACACACCGCAGAAACCCTTGATGAACTCTTCATCACATGTAGCGATTGCGAAGATGCTGAGAAGCAGGAGGGTAAGAAGCAGCTTCATAATTCACAGCTTCTGCTTTTGAAAGGTGTTTTATAATAATGCACTGCCATTCTGTTGAAAGCGTGTGAAATTGTTGCTGAATTATATTCCTGCTAAAAGCCAAAGGGACAAGATAGAGTGTGAGAGCAGCGGACGAAAAACACTTAAAGTTGACAGAATTTCTGATAGCTATCATCACACAAACGTCAATTTCAGTAGCACATAGTCCTAATTCTAATGTACGCTGCCTGTGCAACAAACATGGTAATAGAATAGTTTCGAATGACACTATTCTGTGTTAAAACTACGCCGTAATTGTTAGATAACAAAAAGGCAAGATGTAGCTTTGAACTGCAGCTTTCCCATGGTTGCAAATCGTCTTACGTGGCCTGGAAAGCTCGCTGAGCTGCTGGAATAGTACGTCAACGACTGATTTGGACGAAATAAATTTTTGAATACTTCTACCTTTTATTTTTGCGAATAAATTCTGGAACTTTCCCGTTATCCAAATTTCTTTCCTCAACTTCACAGGAAAAATGTCAACCTTCTGTCACCAAGAGCCAGAAACAAATGACATATCAGTTTATCAGGTTTCGAGAAAAACTTGTGTTAATTTCCGCCATCGTAAATTCAAAACGTTTCTAATCAGTAATAAGTCCATTCTTATTTAACAAATCCAAAAGTGACCTTTAACACTACAATGTCATCCGGCTTTTAATGAACGAATCAATTGCACACAAAAAAGTTTTTTCGCTTTTTCGTTCAAAAAAAGAAAAAAGCGGTATCGCGTTGTTTTGACTCGCCATTTGTTTACTTTCCTGTCTAAATTTGTATGGCGAAAGCACTAAGCAGAAAGATTGTGATTGACACTTTTTTAAGTTCCTGCCGCTTCTAACCCAAAAGTCAGGCTGTAATAAAGTGTATTGTTAGAAATCTGTAAGGCACAGAAGGTAAACCGAAACTCAATTTTATCCTGTTAAAGGCCTCGGTCAATGGAAAATAACAACTAAATTTTCAGCAATAGGCTGTTACGAGAATTCTTTTCTGATTTTTTGCTGTCTTGTGTCCAATGCACAGGGCCTGGCACCAGCTGGAACGGGGCAAGCTGGATATCGTTTTTGGGGCAAAAAGCAAAGGGGGTTTCGTTTTTGTGGGCGAAGACATACGGAAAATTGGCGGCGGCGACCTTTTTTTTTTTTTTTTTTTTTTTTTTTAGTCGACGTTTCGTTTTTTGGGGGATTTTGGGGATTTTTTTAGGATTTTAGGGGGGATATCGTTGAGGATCAAAGGGGACTTCGTAAAATTTCCCAAAAGTCAAGGGGGACTTCGTAAAAATTGGCAAATTTCAAAGGGGACTTCGTTTTCAAAATTCCCTGGTGCCAGCTCGTGCCGAGCCCTGCCAATGCAGCTATCAAGGAATCGTGCATTTATTGACAACATTAACATCTTTTGAGGTGTCTGTCTTTGCTCTTTCTAATGCTCGCTGAATCGCGGTGAATCTCCTTCTACCTATGTTCAAAACCAAAACACAGGTTTCCAAAATCCGTCCGTGAAAAGGAATGTATTGTAAATGTAACTCTCTGAATTAATATAGTTGTAATGTGCAAGAGTACATTTTTAGATTAGCCGTGAAAACAATGTGAATTTTTCTAGACTTTCCTATCTAAAAGGAGTTTCCTTGGATAGCATTTCAGTCATTTCTCTAAAAAACCATAGTGACCAAGCTATAATCACTCTTGTCACTTTGGTCCACCTAGCATAAACTTACCGTAAAGTCGCCAGATATCGGCCACTTTTAACGACCATTAGCAGGTGTAAAGCACTAAAGAAATAAATTTGTGCGGTAATCATAAAATTCGACGAGATTACCAAAAAATCTACAGAGAAATAAACATTCACCTGCTAATTTTACTTCCTTCTTTATCATAACGCTTTTTGAACTCAGACACCGCCGGATCACTTGGAGAAGTCCCGTAGTCCCGTTCCGCAAGCGTGCTGCTTAAGTTCCGAAGAATGCGAACCACAAAAGCAAAAGGGAACAAAGAGGTTTGAACCTTGACTCATTATTATCCTCTGCACTACGGACCACATGTTGGATGATGCACTCTAGTTGTTAGGCAACATATTAGGTTGTTACATAAGTCTTGTTACACTTAACTTCTAACGGCGATAAATCAAGCACCTCATATTCTTTCCAGGGTTTCAGGATATCATTCCATAAAGCAAAGCAAGCTCTACAAGACAGTTTCAAAAGTTCGTACCAATTTCGAACCACTGTGACTTTGCATCCAGAATCTGAGTCGTAGTGAAGGCCTCGAAAATTGCGAAAAATTCATATCTTTGCTCAGAAATATCCTACGAATCTTCAGCTTGCTCATAAAAATTGCCCACTATATCAAACACTCACATGTACCGTTGCTGTATATTTTCCTCATCTAGGAATGCGAGAAAAAGAAGAATTTTCGGTTTTCACAAAAACGAAGCTCCGTTGCTTCTATTCATGTAGATGTATACTACAAGCTCTCAGAAGTATAACCGTAAATTTTCAGCTCTCCAGAAGCCCTAGGTTTCGAAAATTACCTAATTTAGCGTTAAACACCCGAGTGAGAGAAACTAAACTTGGTATTTTTCGAAAACTAGGGCTTATGTAAAGCTGAAAATTCACGGTTATAGTTTTAAGAGCTTGTAGTGTACAGCTACATGAATAGAAACAACACAGCTTTGCTTTTGTAAAAACTAAAATTTTTTTCTTTCTCTGGATTACGTGACGAAAATAAATACAGGAACGGTACATATGAATCTTATAAAGCTGAATGTCTGTTTGTCTGTCTGTCTGTATGTCTGTATGTACGTATGTTCCGAATAGAAAATTCCATTTCTGAACCGATCGGGACCAAACTTGGCACACATACACTTCGGGCCCCGGCGGGTGTCATAGGCTACTAGTAGCCTATGACACCCGCCGGGGCCCGAAGTGTATGTGTGCCAAGTTTGGTCCGGATCTGTTGAGAATTGGAATTTTCTATTCAGAACATACGGCGGAGCCGGGTAAGCCAGCTAGTATGTGATATAGTGGGCAATTTTCATGAGCAAGTTGGAGATGCGGAGGATTCTTTTCTGATCAAAGATATGAATTTTTCTCAATTTTTTGAGCCTTCAATGCGACTCATATTCCGGATGCAAATTTACGGTGGGTCGGAGCTGGTGCGAACTTTTGCATACTTTCTTGTAGAGCTTGCTTTGCTCTATCGAACGGTACCCTGTGTTGATGATTTATATATCATCAACTTCAATAATTCTATAGTCCTAATAGCTCACGGGTATTCCCCAAAGGCTACATATCCCAACCGCTTATATTTAAGTGCCGAATCACTCACCAGTGAGTGGCACCTATCTTCCAGGGGCCGCGCCAAGCCGCGGCATCCTCTTTCTTGCATATATTTCCTGGACAGTCTGATTGTGCACGGGTCAGCTCCGCCTTACTAGCTATATAAGGAGCCCCCGAATGTATTAGAGGTTGCTCCCCCGGTTCATACCGGGTTCGTCTGTGGATAAATTATTATCAACACCACTATCGTCTACGACACTTGGTTCCCACCAAATTGGTGCATCGACCAGTGAAGCTACCTCGTATTCTATCTGCAACCGGAGGAATCGAGGCCAGAAGACCCGCGTGGCAGGAAGACAACCAACCGACTATCTGAAAATTCCTGTGTATCCTTTTCGTAAGAGATCCAGGGAGGTGTAAGAAAAATCGGAAGGCTACCACTGACCATCTGAAAATTTCTGTGTATCCTTTTCGTAAGTGATCCAGAAAGGTGTAAGAGAAATCAGTAGGTAGCACATAATCACACTAATACGTGAAACTTTCTGTGAATCCTTTCCGTAAGCGATCCAGAGGGTCGAACAAATTTTGTGAGTGCAGCACATAACCACATAAGACCGTGAAACTTTCTGTGAATCCTTTTCGTAAGTGATCCAGAGAGCGGAACAAATTTTTGTGGGTGCAATTTTCCAATCGATCTCATAGATCTCTCGCGAATCCTATCCAAGGACCGGAGATCAATACATTGAGATTTGAAAGGAAGGCAACTTGAGTCACAGGAGCTCATTTTGCCAAAAAAGTCAAAGTTCGACCAAGAACTCTTGACTTAAAGGATTGAAACCCAATCCTTATCTGGTCAAGGTCCAAGCCACCTTACCAGTCAGCACAGCGTCCAAGCCAACCAGGCACGCTTGCTCATCAGAGATCATCACCCAGCTGTCTCTATTCAACAACACCACTAACGAGCCTGCAAATTTGCGAAAACCTCCCTACTTGCACATTGAAGAAACAGCAAAGCAACCAACTTGCTGTAGGACAAAACGAATAGAAGTCGGAATTGAATCTCGAAGATGGCCGCACTTCAACTTTTCAAAATCAGGATCAACAATGCCTGCAAACTCGTAAAATCGCACGAGTCACAAATCAATGACATTGATGTTCCCTTCACATTTCCTGCGATAAAAGAACAATGTGAGCTGTACATTAAAGAGAAGACAGGAGTAATAACTAATCTCCTAAATTCTTTGCATAACGCAATGAAGCTCCAAGAAACGCAAACCAGTGCCGCTATGGAGTACATCAACACAAGGAATGATGAGAAAGAAAGGGAAAAGCTAATGACAGAACTCAGCAAGCACTTACAGCTTGAATCATTTGATCTAGAAGTGGTTGTAGTGGAATGGCAGACTAGGATACAGTTCAGACAGCATGAACTGAGGGAGCAAATGACACTTTTGCATACGCCTCCTCCTAGTATTCCAAGTCAGCCAGACAGCGAGATAGGAAGAAGCTCAACAAAGGATCGAAGTAAACGCCAGATCAATATCCGGAAACCGCTTCTAGAGATTCCTACATTCTCTGGAAACTTCAGAGAGTTCAACAGTTTTTGGACAGTGTTCGAATCACTCATTCACTGCGACGAAGACCTATCGGATGGCGACAAATTCCTTTTTCTGAAGCAAGCGCTCAAAGGAAAAGCTGCTGCTGCTCTGAACTGCATCCCTGTCGTTGGAAACAAATACAACACAGCCGTAGACATCCTGAAGAAGCACTTTGATCGCTCTGCCAGC